CACCTGAAAATGGTGGGTGAGTCTCCCCGCGGGGCTACTGCATACACAAGAACTCGAACTCGAGATCTTGTTTAAGCTGGAACAAGCCGCTTACCACTTGATCCAACCCTTCGTTGGTATGGTTTGTAGGCATTTACACCTATACATGTAGTCCGTCTAGTTTAACATCAGTTTTAAATTTAATCCAAACTAGCTTATATTTATTGTCATTTAGACTCATTTAATTCTTTTTTTTTCTCCCATAAAAAAAATCTTTTTTTTATGTCGATTTTTTACCCACATATTTTCATGAACAACAATATATTTTCATAAACAACAATTATTATACATCTTTGTTCCCTACCCTCACACTTTCCCTTTCTCTTCATTTTCATTGACGATTACTTAAAATTTAAAATGAAAATTAAAGTGAAAAAAAAAAAGAAAAAAAAAAGAAAAAGTAAGAAGAAAAAGAAAAAAAGAAAAGAAAGAAAAAGATAAAAGAGTCACCACGGATCAAAATAAATAATAATGGATAAGTTCGGTGGTCTGCGAGAGATTTTGGGCAAAGAAAAGAAGTACAGTTAAGTATGGTAACAGACATGTACACCTGCAATTTCCGTATCAAATAAGTTGCATATTTTTAAATTAAAATTTTATTTTTTTATAGAATAAAAGGTCAAAACTGATCACCTGGAGAAAGAACAGGAGAGTATTTGAGATCTGAATTGTTTTCATAATTTTTTTTTTTTTACTGAAATTAGAATTTTGACGTTTGAAAATTGAAGTTCGGGCCTCAGACTCTTCCATTTTTTTTTTTTTCTTTTTGTTGAAGAAGAACCATTTAACATTTTATAGCCTGCGCTTTAGAAAAGCAATCCTACTCAAATTCTGTTATATTAACCTAAGCTTGGCTTATATTTATGGATCGAAGTCCAATCATGCAAAATCGATTGTACATCTAAATTAGATATAGGACAAGGCGAAAAGGTTCGTCTTGAAGTTTTTTTCTTCAAACACTATTCTAGGATCATCCCATTTTAACGAAACTCTTTGTCCTTTAATAATAATAATAATAATAATAATAATAATAATAATAATAATAAAACTATAATGGGATTATGTCCAGAAAAAACAATCCACAACCAGAAATAGAGAGCAATAAATAGAAACACCAAGTATAAATTAGTAAGGAAGAAATACCATCGATATATTAAAAATTATGTATTGAAGAAATTACATAGATTGTTGAAACAAATAAAAAAAAAAAAGGGTAAAAACTATGCTAATGCTCAGTGTTCCTCTTCCATTCCCCGTATCCATTGCAAGGAAAAAGGCTGAGTTTCGGGCAACGAGCCTTTTCCAGGAATTGCAAGTCTGGAAACAATGAGGTCAATTGCTTCCAATCCATTTCCAATTTAGTCAAGTACCTCAGGCGTAAAGTTTTAACAGTTTTGAACTCCTTCAGACAACAGAGATGTCCTCCTCTGATGTAGAGTTTTTCTAGATACTTCAGTGAATCTGGATTTATCCAGATGGGCAAACTAGAATTGGGATAACATCGGAGGTCTAACTTCTCTAATTGTTCAGGAAGAATCGGTCTGTCATCTGGGGAAGGCATCCCAATGCTCTTGGCCTTTTCTGTTTTGATCGGACCTAACTTTTCTGGCACAGGATCTGGGTTAGCTGTTCTTTTCAATCCTATTCCCGTATTGAGTGGATAACCTCTCTTTACTTTTGCACCAATCTCATGACACCTTCTGACCAATATCCGGAAACAATTACCTATATGGCACTTTCCTTTGGAGTGCTTTGATGAAGATGGTCTGGGAACTTCAACCCATGCTATTGTAAGGGAACGCAATGCTTCAAACTCTGATAAACCTTCCAGCTCTGTTGCCTCTCCTGCATCAGCTTCCACGCAGCAGTAGACAACGCCTAGTTTTCTCAATTTCTTCAAATTTGTCAAATCAACTATCTTGCACGTATCCCTTTTTTCTGGATCTCCAACCACAAACCCCTTAAGAACTCGGAGCTCTTTCAGGTGCCCTAATCCTTTTGGTATGCTTTCTATCATATAACAGCCCGACATGTCTAAATGAGTAAGGCTGGTGAGCTTGCTTATCTCGGCCGGAATTTTTGTTAAATTGTGGCATGCTTTGAGATCCAGTATCCTCAGATTACCAAGACTGGAAACAGAAGGCGGGAGCTCGTGAATTCCGAAGACCATATTTAAACCTACGTACGTCAGGGATTTCAGATTGACAAAACTTTTCAAGAATTCGGTGCTAGCCACCTGAATATCATCGTTAGAGGAGCCTTCCCAGCCACCTAGCTGAAGGACACGGAGACTTTTCGCCTTGGATAGCCAGAAACTCTGCAGATCTATGAGAGATTGATTGACATTGACTAAAATCTCCAAATTTGTTGGATCTTGATTCCTTATTGCATACTGGGAATACTTCTGGTCGGTAGTGGTACTCAGCAGGATTACCTTGCCAGTAACACCTTGTGGTAAGTCCCCTTTAGAATCAAAATCAAAGTTTCCTTCTCTCTTCTCTAGCGTCATAACGATTAAACGAATGAAGGGATTCATTCTGATGAATTTGTTCTCTAGTGTTCTCCCTCCCTCCATAACCGGTTCAATGAAGCCCCTTTTTATGAGTTCCGCTATCTTCTCCTCTGCCGCCCTCTTCTCCTCTGCCGCCCTGGTGGTATCTAGCAAGCCCTCTGCCATCCACCAATACCTTAAGAGTGTCTTCCTTATAACGAAATCATCTGGAAACACCCTAATGCATGACAAACACTCTTTCATATTTTGACTGAGCTTCGAATACTGTTCTGCAAAATACTGGAAGATTGAAGTTCCTTCGATCTGTTCAGGAGGTATAGTTGGTATCATGTGCAGACCAGCATCATCTATTTCTTTCTGTTCAATTTCTAATGGGGTTTCGGTTACTGCAGCCTCATGGCCCTCACCAGCTGGGTCATTCTGGGGAGTTAATTTGAGCTTCGCCTTTAATTCTGACACAGCTGCACCCATTTCAGGAACCACCTTCCTAACGCTGATTGGGATAGACTGCTGATCAACACTCTGCAGGCTCTGGGATTCAGATTGTTCAGCAGCTTCTTCCAGCCTTCCAGCAGCTTCTTCCAGCCTTTCGATAGCAGGCAAGTTGGGATGCACAAAAGCTCTGATCTGCTCGTTGACCAAAATTTCGAACTTGTTGAGTTGCACGATGGCATTTTTAACATCTTCTAAGTCTTCGCTGACTGTCTCAAAATTGTAATAAAGATCATGAAGTTCCTCATCTTCTGTATCTAGGAAGTTCTTCAACTTTTTTAGGTGAGCAGCCAAAAAATTCACGACCTCATCGCTGATCTTATTGATGGACCAGATCTGGTCGGTTTCTGCAAAGTGTTTAAGATTACTGAAGTTGGGGACTTTATTCTCCCCCATTTGTGAAGATGATGAACTGGAACCAGACATTTTTGAAAGAGATGCGAAGCAACAAGAGGAGGAGAAAAACTTCAACAAGCTTTGTGCACGGAAAGTGGGGCGGTTCTATACTAAATCAAAAGGCACCTTCTTGAGTCTTGACCCTGATCCGGTTTTGATTTCGAGCTAGACACAAAATTTTGGGAAAAACACCTGTAGACGTTTCCCAGTTTAGCACAAAAGCCCTCAAAAAAAAAAAAACATGCATGTAAGTCCTTAGGCTGCTTGATCAATGCGTGTAGCCCTTAATTACCAGGTGCATTGGTCTTCGTTAGGCTCTTTGAGGCCGCTTGCATTTTCCGTTAGTTTTTGGCAAGTAAAAAATTGGTTAATTTCACCATAGTCCATAAACTTATCATATTCTAAATGAACTTGAAAAGTTTATCACCAACTCATCATGAATCAAAATACATAAATAGAAAAAAGGGGTTTTTCATTGTCTCAACTTATCAAAAGCTTCAGCAGACTTTTTATTCCTTCTTCAAACATGGTATGGAAACCTACAAATCCAGGAAAGATCCGTCCAAGAACGACATCCATACAACACCAATTTCATGCCTTCATTCTCATTCTTTGAGTTTTACCCATTAAAGCACTCCCTTGACCCCTTAATCGCTTTTGTATCTTTCAATTTTGCTAACACATATAGTTAAGGGATGTCCAATTTGAGTCGGTTTGCGGAGATCGAACATATTTCGGAGATGGATTTATTTCTTGCCAACAGTGAGAAGAATTATGGTATAAATAGGACAAAATATTCGCCAAACGCAAATACATGTTTATGAAGAGAAATTAATCACTTGAGTAGTGATACATGAGGAGCGAAGATACGGGACAAATAACATGTGTATATTATAAAAGTTAGGAGAATAGCATTTATTCGTTTTATTTTTTAAACATTGTTTTAAAAACTAAATTGAATTGATTGGACTGATATTTGATACTATAAATGGATTGGATCAATATTTAGAATCGATAAAGTGATTAAACCATTAGAAACCGGTAAAATCACTCAGATCAGTACAAATTGACAAACCATTCAACCAAAACACATGACTTGAAGGAGATTTTTTGTGATTTTTGCCACTAGGACGTTATCTCTTTGATTGAAATGATTTGTTAACAATTTCATTTATTTTATTTTGGAAAGAAAAAAATTGCTGATGGTACAGCAAAATCGAACTTCCTTGCCTTGTATCATTAATTTTCATGTTAAAATTAATATAATATTCGTCTAATTTTTATTTTAAATATATAAATTAAAAATATATGGACTAAAATTATATTTACTTTATTTTTAGTAAG